TCTGATGGCGGAAGAAAATTGGAGTTATAAGACTCCCAGAAAGCATTGCGGCACTCTACCCCGGATGTAATTATGGGTGTCCTAATTTCCGGTTTGCGGGCCGCTATGCGTGGAAGTTGCCTGGTGCTAACCCGCAAGACTTGTTCTCTATTAGAGGCCGGAGAAGAACAAATGCTTTGGGGGAGTTGTAGTGCGCAGCCTAGCGGCCCCTAACCGGAAGTCCTTAGACTGAAGGTGGCGCTTCGCCACCGGGGACGCCCTCAACTTATTTCCCTGACAATCCTGCTGCTAGGTGTAAGATCGCAAAGAGGAAGAGAAAATATTTTTGTGAATTCCTTCCACTATGGAGAAAACCGTATAGCGAGGGCCATGGATAAGTGCGTTGGTGCGGGTGCTGTTTCTGAATCACCTTTTTATCCTGGGATCCTGTTAGCACCGTGCCAGGCACTGTGGTAAGCCATTATAAATATTAACTCATTTAAGTCCAACAAGCCTATAAGGTAGGTACTATTATTATCCTCATTATAAAGACTGAAACATTGAGATGCAGAGCAGTTAAATAACTTACCCAAGGAAACACAGAGCCAGTAAGAGATGTTCTGGTTCTACCGTTCTATGTTATATCTTACCTAACTAACAAACGGACAGAGGTATATCCTGGACCAGTGACTTAAACGTTTTTGACCTAGACACATAGCACAAATTTACATTTTACGTTGCTACCCCGTACACAAACACAGATACATGCACATACAGAGCTGAAACAGCTTCATGAAACAATACTTACTCTTCCTTACAAAACAAGTGCGTTGATGTATTCTACTTTTTGTTTTATTTTAAGAAACCCTGATCCAAGGCTGGGCGTGGTGGCTCGCGCCTGTAATCCTAGCTCCCTAGGAAGCAGAGGCGGGCGGATCGCTAGATCTCAGGAGATCAGCCAGAGCAAGAGTGAGACCTCCTCTCTATTAAAAAAAAAGAAGAAGAAAAAGAAAAGACAAAAAGAACAACTGAGTCAAGATCACTTGAGCCCAAGAGTTTGAGGTTGCTGTGAGCTGTGACGCCATGGCCTTCTACTGAGGGGCAACATAGTGAGACTCTATCTCTCTCTCTCACACACACCCAGAAAGCAAAGAAAGAAACTCTGATCCAAAAACATTAGTAGTGATTTCACTACTCGGTGAGTCTGGACCCTGACTGAAACACTCTTACATATAAGCTTCATGAGCATTGAGCGGGAGTGGCTGTCCTGGACAGCCAACAACCCAATTGTCTCCAAAATTAAAGAACACTAATGTAGCAAAGGGGCCTCTTAGCACTCAGACACTAGAGTGGCAAGGGCGTCTTTCGGCATTTAGATTCACATTGATAGATGGAAACCAGTTTTTCTGTTTATTTGTCTATTTATTTTTTATTTTATTTATTTGAGACAGAGTCTCACTATGGCACCCTCAGTAGACTGCTGTGGTGTCACAGATCACATCATCCTCTAATTCTTGGGCTTAAGCAATTCTCTTGCCTCAGCCTCCCAAGTAACTGGGACTACAGGCGCTCTCCATAATGCCCAGCTATTTTTTTGTTGCAGTTGTTTAGAAGGCTGAGGCTGGGTTTGAACCTGCCACCCTCAGGGGTGGGTTGCATATTGTATGTGGCTGGCACCACAGTACTACGGGCGCCAAGCTGGAAACCAATTTTTCCTTTTTTTTTTTTTTTTTTTT